GAAAGAAAGATAGACATGAGGGAACAAAGCAGTGTAAATAAAGGAGGGAGAAAGAGAAAATAGGTAAGAAAAGGTGTGAGAATGATAGTGCCTGAGCAAGCTTCAAAGCTTCTTCTATATCACCTACCTGCCTCATTCATACATCAACATAAACTTAACCTATGAACAATCATGGAGAATAAAAAAAAATGAAACCATTTCATTTCAAGAAAAATCCTTGTATTGGAGGGGCCTACATTTTCACTCTGAATTCCTCCACTAACGGGTTTTGAATTTGATTTTGGTGTATAGATGGAAAGTTTAATGTGGGTAAAAATGTCATTTTGCTGTCAAAAACATTTATGTTCTAGTAAACAGGGCTACTGACTTGTGTAATATATGCAGCATTAGATCCAGTGGAGAGTGTAAATTTTGTACTTTAGTCACAAGTTGAGGGAGGTGTTGTGTGATAATCCACAAGTATAAGGGGTTCTCTGTGATGTTAAACCAAAACCAAAACACAACCAAACAACACCATAGTTTTTTTTGTTTAATTTCAAATGTTGTTGCTTTCTAATTTTTCGGTTATACTGCCAAAACTTTATTTGCCCGAAATGGTAGTTGATTGAAGTGTGGATTGTTCAATTTTTGTAGTGGCTTGTTGAGTACAATGCGGCACTAGCATCCATCTGCTTCATGATTTTGCTTGGATTTGTGGATGATGTCCTTGATGTCCCTTGGAGAGTGTGAGTTTTTGAGTCACACTTTTTAAGGGTTTTATTCTTTCCTTAGAATTCCATTTGTGTGCAATGTTTTTCTTCTCCAAAAATTCCAAATTTATGCTCAACTAGATCCTTATTTGCTTTATGTAATTTTGAAGACAGAAAATTACTATTGCGGTCAATTGCTGCACTTCCCTTGTTGATGGCCTATGCTGGACATACAACTATTATTATACCAAAACCTCTTATTCCATATGTCAAGCTAGAGGTTTTGGATCTAGGTAAATTGTTTCTAGTAAAGAATTTATTTATTGTACTACTGTGATGTCAAATCTTTTAGGGGCAGACAGTTGTAATTACATCTGTGGTAAGCATCAAGTCTTTTAGGGATAATGGAACCCGATTTGATAATGAAATCTGACACAATGTAAATTATGGATTTTAATACATAATGTCATGCAAATGGGAGCATCTGCAGACCCTGAGTGTAGACAGGCCCATGCATTGTCTATTTACCTTGTTCAACCATTACTTGCCACTTCCTTGGCTTTGCTATCTTTTAACTGGTAATAATGCTTTCTTTATACATCATGACTGAAAGTTCTTATTGCATAATCCTATAACCTTTGATACTTCTTGGTTTTCTTCACATTTTAGGTATCCTTCTTCAGTTTTTGTTGGCGACACCTACACATACTTTGCTGGGATGACTATGGCTGTAGTTGGCATTTTAGGCCACTTTAGGTATGTAAATTCAGTGTCATTCGTTCCTATTGCTTAACATTACAATATAATTATAGATAGCGAATTAAGCGGATGATTTATGGAACCTTGTTGTACCTTGAGTTACAAGTTGCAATGTCAACACATGTAACATGTAGAGCAATTGACATAATTATGATCAACTTTATTTTTAGTTCCAATTCAACATCGATTCAAATCTCCCCTTGTCATTGTTCAACCAGCTTTGCAGACTGCTCTTGTGGGTGTAACTAGGAAATCTTTTCCCAGTTATAGAAATTCTAGTTCGCCATTTCCCCCTCAGTATACATGCTTGATGCACCTTTAGAATGCCTAAAGTAATTCAACCCTTCTTAAATTTATTTTGCTGTTAGCTTATGTGTTCCGAACATTTTCTAATCCTAAAATTGGCGTGAACATAATTTAACTTGCAGAGAATCATGTTTTTTGGGCAAATAACTAGTATCATAATAACCATGTCAAGAATCGTAGCTCAGATACAGAATCTCTATTAAAGAAAATTAGTACTGGTTCTTCATGTGTGCCTTTTGGTATTGATATATAAAATTTCATTTTTTATGTTTTTGGTGGTGACTAAACTCAGTAAAACCTCAAGTACCAACTATATCCAGTTATCTGCAGAAAAAAGACGCCTTTCTGTTGATGTGCATTTGTCTGTTTAATTGCTACCTAAAATTGGAGTACTAAATTTGTTTCTGCTTTCTATTTATTTTGTTGCAGTGAAACACTTCTGATATTCTTCACTCCTCAAGTTTTGAACTTCCTATTATCGCTCCCTCAGGTTCAATATTTGCTTCCTTCCCCTCTAGCCCCATTATCTCAGATCCTAGATTTATGAAGATTCTAACTTCCTCCTGCTTTTTGTCAGCTTGCTAGATTTATGTATAATAAATGGTTTAAATTACTGTTTGACACTTAGAATATATTAAATAAATTTATTTTTTCATGAGTCTTGACACGAATATGTGATGATAGAAAAATAAAAGGCACGGAAACATAATACAAATTGACACCACTAATCTAGAGCACATTTATCATTATATAAAATACTTTCTCAATGTCATCATGCTTTTAAATGCTGCTGTNATTCGTTCCTATTGCTTAACATTACAATATAATTATAGATAGCGAATTAAGCGGATGATTTATGGAACCTTGTTGTACCTTGAGTTACAAGTTGCAATGTCAACACATGTAACATGTAGAGCAATTGACATAATTATGATCAACTTTATTTTTAGTTCCAATTCAACATCGATTCAAATCTCCCCTTGTCATTGTTCAACCAGCTTTGCAGACTGCTCTTGTGGGTGTAACTAGGAAATCTTTTCCCAGTTATAGAAATTCTAGTTCGCCATTTCCCCCTCAGTATACATGCTTGATGCACCTTTAGAATGCCTAAAGTAATTCAACCCTTCTTAAATTTATTTTGCTGTTAGCTTATGTGTTCCGAACATTTTCTAATCCTAAAATTGGCGTGAACATAATTTAACTTGCAGAGAATCATGTTTTTTGGGCAAATAACTAGTATCATAATAACCATGTCAAGAATCGTAGCTCAGATACAGAATCTCTATTAAAGAAAATTAGTACTGGTTCTTCATGTGTGCCTTTTGGTATTGATATATAAAATTTCATTTTTTATGTTTTTGGTGGTGACTAAACTCAGTAAAACCTCAAGTACCAACTATATCCAGTTATCTGCAGAAAAAAGACGCCTTTCTGTTGATGTGCATTTGTCTGTTTAATTGCTACCTAAAATTGGAGTACTAAATTTGTTTCTGCTTTCTATTTATTTTGTTGCAGTGAAACACTTCTGATATTCTTCACTCCTCAAGTTTTGAACTTCCTATTATCGCTCCCTCAGGTTCAATATTTGCTTCCTTCCCCTCTAGCCCCATTATCTCAGATCCTAGATTTATGAAGATTCTAACTTCCTCCTGCTTTTTGTCAGCTTGCTAGATTTATGTATAATAAATGGTTTAAATTACTGTTTGACACTTAGAATATATTAAATAAATTTATTTTTTCATGAGTCTTGACACGAATATGTGATGATAGAAAAATAAAAGGCACGGAAACATAATACAAATTGACACCACTAATCTAGAGCACATTTATCATTATATAAAATACTTTCTCAATGTCATCATGCTTTTAAATGCTGCTGTCGTTGTTGGCTACGTTATCATTAGGGGTTATCTACGGTAGCCAAAAAAAAAAAAATTGGTGTCATTGATATTTATTATTTTTGGGAGTATTTTTATTATTATATTGAATATTTTTATCACCATTATGGTAATGAAAAAAAATTGCAAAAATAGTTATCACAAAAATAATAAAAATATTCATAAAATTGATAAAAATATTTATAATAATAGTTATAAAAATATCCACAAAATTGTAAAAATACTTATAAATGTGATAAAAATACCTATAAAAATGATAAATTTTTTTTGTATCAAAGAAAAGTGATAAAAATATTTATTACAAAAGTGATAAAAATTCACAAAAATAATAAATCACGGTATTGAATTGTTTTATTAACTAACGTAGTCAACTATTTGCCATATTTTTCTCCTCTTTGAGACAGGTGTCTCTGAGACGGTAATAGTGCCTGGATGGTAGGGTTGGACATATTCCATATCGGATAATCTTTGAGTGTGTGAGTAATATATTAAGTCTTTCCTAATCCTTACTCTGTTAGAGTAAATGATTAGTGGTAGAGTAAATGGTTAGTGTTTGATCAAAACAATACCTCGCCATATGACGAGGCCATAAACAGTTCATGTAGGAAAATTTGCCCCCATTGACGGTAGTTGGAGTTGGAGTTGTATAAAATGACGAAACTACCCCTCCAATATTTTAAAGTTTTTAATAATGCCTTGCACAAATATATACTAGACTTGTTGGGGTTAGTTAAGTAAGCCATTAGCCATGGGAAAATAAAAGAGGAGCATCACGTGAGAAAAGAAAGTTAAACGCAGATTAAACTAATTGGGGCAGATTTTTAAGTACTTCAAATTACCATCACTAGTCTTTCTAATGAGCTAACAAAAAAGATTTTGAGGTTCATTTATAATTAGTGAAATGAATCGGGTCTAAAATGCAAAACAACCGCCCACCCATGATTTTATATTTTTTCTTTCTCTCTTTGATTCCCTCCAATCTATCCAAACTAAAATTTCCTACCTTCCCTCGTTTTCTGTTCTCTCTCTCTCCTCACTTTCATCTCCAAAGCCCAAACTCTCACGTTCACTCTCTCTCTAAACACCCCACACCCCCATCCTTCAACTACCCTCTCTCTCTCTCTCTGACACACACACACACAATTAATCAGAGTACCGAAACATCGGTGGAGGGTTTTTTTGTTTCAGTCTTTTCTGTTCAATGTCAGATGCTAGGGCTCCGACTCTCTAGGCGGCAAACGGAGTAGGCCAGATCCTTTATCCGATCAAGGGCCACATAACCTTCTCATCAATGAAGCCGCCGTTCATTCCTCCGGAGGATTACCACTGCTTCTCCTCCGACGATGGTCGGAGAGTCAGCTCCGCCGCCACCGATAATGAACCGGAAGCCATTGTAGTCAAATCTCCTGTGGGTATTTTTTTTCCTTCGTATATGGATAGGGTTCGGTTCGTTGCTATTGGTGATTTGTGGTGTAGTTAAATGCATTTTTTATTCTAATCCTTGTATGATTGAATGTGATGAAGTGATTTTTGGTTCCTTCCTGTTGAAATTGCATATCCGGGCTTGATTGTATTCAAGTTTATTATAATGTTCGAGCTAGGATTTCAGAAAGTTTGTGTTAGATCTCTTTCAATGTGTTAGAATTACCTGGAATTTGTTTAAATTAGGTTTTTTAGTATGTGTGCATAGGTTCTTTAAATGCAAAGTGATTTGGACGGACTTAACTGTTTTGTTTATGCATTTGTGCGGTTTTGTCTTTGCTTGTGATGTGAAGAACAAGAATTCTATGGCTGTTAAGTTTTCCAGAGCAGAAGTGTCACTCCATAATGCTGCGTGCTATTGAATATGCGCTAATTCAAAGCAAATTGTTTATATGTTCTGGGATTTTGATCAGAATGCAATTTATTTATTGGTAATTGCGTTCAACTTGCAATATGATATCTAATATAGGCAGAGGCAGAGCCCCTCGGGCCTTTGCACTCAATTTCATTTTGGAACAATTTTTTTCATATAGATTTTTGTATAGTATAGATTTGTCCCCACATAAAAAATTCATTCATTTAAATCTATTTCATAATTTCTCACATTTATAATAGATTTATTTACTCTTGATCAAGTGAACTTAGATAATGTTTAGGTATTTCAACTCCTCAACATGTATTTAAGAAGTTGTTTTTAGTCCCGTGGTTCTCTCTCCCTATATCTAGTCTCTTTGACAATTTAATGGTAGCAATGGATTAAGTCTCTAAACTAGATCTCTGAATTAAGTACATGTAGTAATTGTTGCTAAAATTTACCCCCCACTACGACAAATTTCTGGCTCCACCCTTGAATATGGGACTGGAGAAATGCAGAGATTCGTTACGGTGGAACCATAAGATGCTTTTTCTAGATGTGGTTCTTCAGCGAGTTATGACAATGAAGAATTATCCTTGAAGATATCACTTGAACTAGTCAGTTGATGTGTTCTCTGAATCGCTCCATAAATTAATGAAATGTATTGGCTTGTGTGTTTGCTGGTGCAGTTACCAGTTGTGTACCATATTTGCGCTTAAGCTTGATCTACATAGTTAAAATTTACGGGCTGCTTATACAATATTAGCCTTTGCATTTTACAAACTATTTTTTTAAACTTTATTCTTTATTTGCACATTTGTAGCAAAATGAATTGGCAGCCGTATTATTTCATAACTAACCCCTTGTAAGTGGCATAGTTCACCTTAAATTTCCCATCAAATTTGTTAGTGCGAGTCATCATCATTAGTTGTGTTGCTTTATTCTAACAATGTATTAATACTATTTTGCTCATCCCTAAAGAATTGTCAAGTTTGTGAAATGGCGTTATGAGATTTTACTCTGATCCCAGGTTCCCTGTGATGTTACGGTTGCCATTACCCCATCACTGGGATGAAGGTCTGATAGTATCTTCATGACAATGCACTTTCAAGCTTCCACCTGAAGTTTGGATTACAACATTTATTAAAACCTTGATTCACGGATCACATTCAGTTTTATTATGAGTGCTTTGTCATGGAGTGGATTTCTTTTCACCATGCATTTGTAACTAGAATATCTCAAATTGTATCCTATGTATTTCTAATTTCTGTTTTGCCAATTAATTGTTATCTCTCAGCCATTAAAGAGGAAGACTGGAACTGACTACTATGAAGTTGACTCTAGTGAGAGGAATACAAGTTCTGGATACACTGATATAGTCAACAGTCCCCTCAGGACACCTGTATCAGGAAAAGGAGGAAAAATTAATGGCCAGTCAAAGATCACCAAAAGCTCTAGATCCGGACCTCAAACTCCAATGTCACCAAATGCTAGTAAGATTACTTGTCCAATATCTTGTATGACAGTATATTTTTCTTTTGTTGATGATGAGTATCTTTATATGGTATAAATCCAATTGGTTATATATTCTTCGCTTCAACTAAGTGGTTTTGCCCATTTGATCATGTTACATCTAGATAGTACAACCAGGAAAAAAGGCATAACATGATTGTTATTGTGCAAGTGTGCAGGTTCTCCTTCTCTGCTTACCCCTGCCGGCAACTGTCGTTATGACAGCTCCTTGAGTAATTTCATTACTGGTGGCATTAGTATTCAATTCATTACTACAAACTGTTCGATATATAACTTCCAGCACTACAAGTGGTACGAGTGATGATTATGCGCCGTGCCTTTCAGGTCTTTTGACAAAAAGGTTCATCAACTTGATCAAGTATGCAGAAGATGGTATTCTTGATCTAAACAAAACTGCTGACAGTTTGGAGGTGATCAAAGTGCTTGATAAATATATTGTTTGTGCATTTTATATATTCTGATTCAATGAAAAAAATATACAGGTGCAGAAAAGGCGTATATATGACATAACAAATGTCCTTGAAGGAATTGGGCTTATTGAAAAGAAGCTCAAGAACAGAATTCGCTGGAAGTAAGGTTCTTTCGCATGTTTACACGCATGCATTTTTATCGTGTAGGGTTTTTAACTATAGTAAGAAGTTGAAGCTGTGGGAAATTGAATGAAAATTTGTTGAATGATTGATTAGAGGAGTGGATTATTCAAGATCAGGGGTGGTAGAGGATGATCCCACTTTTTTACAGGTACACAAAAGTGGTTATTGCTTTTGTCGTGTGCTTGCTTGTGAAATCTCAGATTTTGAACATATGACGCATTTTGATTTTTCCTTATTCTTTCATCTTGTCTGGTTGATTACCACTTGTGGTAGATTTCTAATTGTTGATGACTCATTCCAGTCATTATCCATCATCATTATTCTCAAGAGTTAAATAATTAGTGATGAGATTTGTCTTGTGGTTGCTGTCTGCAGGCAGAAGTTGAAAAACTTTCAAGTGAAGAACGAAGACTAGATGAGCGCATAAGGTTGGTTGGTTTATTGCATTGTTTGAGCAGTTAATATTGCTGTCCTGAAATTGTCAGAGTTTGTTGATGCTTTAGACTTTCAGAGAAATGCAGGAAACATTGAGGGATTTTAGTGAAGATGGAAATAATCAGAAGTAAATTTCTCCCTCCCACCATTGATTCTGTTTTAAACTGAGTTGAAAATTTGTGCATCCATTCGTATCTTTATTCATCTTCTACCCATTTTAGGCTGCTTTTGGTGACTGAGGAGGATATCAAAGGCATACCCTGCTTTCAGGTCAGTTCTTAGCGTTTGTTGTTTGTTACAAGTAACACTTTTTAGTGTTACCATGATGATCTCCTACTTGAGTAGTATACTGTATACTGCAGTTTGTTTAAATCTCACCAGTAATCAAACTTTTTATGCCTCAATTCTGGCAGAATGAAACCCTCATAGCGATTAAAGCTCCACATGGGACCACTCTTGAAGTCCCAGATCCTGATGAGGTAAATTGGAAATGGAAAGAGCTCATGTGATGTTTTACCTTTATGTTTTCTGATGTGCAAAGCAATTTGCTGCTTTATATACCAGGCTGTCGACTATCCGAAGAGGAGATACAGAATAATCCTTAGAAGCACGATGGGTCCCATTGATGTCTACCTTGTTAGGTATTGTTCCCTGTTTTCTGGTACATAAAAATATACATGTTTGTAACTAGTAATAGTCGTCCCTCCCAAGTCCTAGCAACCCTTCTTTTTTGTTCATGCCTTTTTCTAACCATTTTCATTTTAGTCAATTTGAGGAGAAGTTTGAGGAGATGAATGGTATTGAACCATCTATGAGCTTCCCGCTTGCTTCAAGTTCGGTTTCCAATGAGAATCTGGCAACAGGGATAGCCTCTAATGGGAACATTGCACTCCAGATTGAAGCACGGGAACAAGATGGTCACAGAATGAGCTCTGATCTCAGTGTTTCACAGGACTATGCTGTGGGGATGACAAAGATTGTCCCATCCGATGTCGATGTAAGTGTACTAATTCTGGGCTATTCATTTTAACTAGATGGCAATGTACCAGAGGTTTGTTCTTCATAAAAACATGTGTAAACAACTGGACGGTCAGGTTCTTTATATCTAAGTTCTCTTTATATTCATGATGAACGTAAACATGCAAGCTAATGAATTTGCGTTGCATTCTTAATACCTGAGTGATGAACACTTTAGCTAGGTACTCGACTTGGACATTTTCAATAATGTGAAGACCTGGCAATAAGTAAGCCCCGTTAGAATTTGATCATAGTCTAGATTAACATGACCAGTGAGTGCTACTGGAAAATGTCATTTGATTATCCTTGGTATTCTTTTTATTTTCTTTTTTGCTGGGCTTTTTGGATAACCTCTATGCCGAGAGATGGTGTGTATAGAATTTCAAAGTCTTTGTTAAGAATTTTGTTCACATTGCTAATTTTTCCTCAATCATTTTCTTGCATAATTTTCTGGTCAAATGTGTTTAGTCTGTCTGAACACATAGCATATTTGTGGTATTCATTGCAGGACGTTGCTGACTACTGGCTTCTGTCGGATGCAGATGTTAGCATCACGGACATGTGGAAGGCAGACTGTATCCTTCTCAAAGTGCTTTTATTTTTATGTATATTTTCGGAGTATTCATGCTCAATTCCATGACTTCACCTACAGCTGGTATTGAATGGGATGGGGCAGACGCAGATATGCTTCCTGTGGAGTTTGGAATGGCTGATGTTACTACTCCACGGCCACTGACACCGCCATCTGGTGTTGCTGATATACCATCTGTTGCTGTCAAGGCCACACCGAAATGATTTGGGTTTGCCTGATGAGCTGTGGCTTTGGAAGCTCGTATCTACCCCATCCCAAGCTGTCATTGCCATCGAAAATTTCTCAGCCGTCATCAATTCAATCCCTGGAGTTTAGTTGAGAGATGATGCCAACAAGAAAAAGCTCTAAAGAGGAAGAGACTATGGAAAACAATGGCTTGCGGCTCATGTAATCTGTTTTAACCCATGGTTCAGTGATGAACGAGAGCTTATACTGTGAGGTAATGGGGCGGATGTTTAAGATGGAATAACTGTGGCACCTGGGAATGTGCTCAAACACAACAACACCTCAAGGTGAAGTTCTTTACAATAGATTCATTATTAATCAATTGCGAGTTTTGTTTTTCTCTGGTCAGTTCTAGTATTCTTACTTTTCTTGGTTAAAACATTACACAATGACTTGAATTATTAGCACAACCTTCAGATTCTAGTGGGGAGTTTCTATCCCATAGTAGTTGAATGGATGGCAAACATTACAACTTTAATACCTTTTATGGCAAAACAGTGATAAATTTCATTACGGCCAAAACAGGATAAAAAAAAAGCTTCTTTTAGTTTATGTTGGATGTTGGTTTTTTTTTTCTCCTTAACAAGGGTTCATTGTAGGCTACATTTTAGAGCATATCTAACTATTATTCAATTTTAAATTTGAGTAAAAACAACTTAAAAATAAAGGAAAATTCAAGTTTTTACTCTTTATTCTAATCTTTAATGTTTAGATTTTATAGTTTTTTAAAGATTTAATTATCATATTTTATTCTCATTTAAAATTGAGTTTGTCAATTAGAGTATTTTGTATCAAATTAAATTTTTTATTAATATATTTATTTAAATATAAGTAAAAATTTGAGCGGGGAAAAGATTTTTCATTTCCAACCAAAAAAAAAAAACAAAATTCTTGTTAGGAAAACGGTTCTGGTGCTGTCACTCCTGACCAAGATCCAACCCTTGTTTTTATTGAAACAAAAAAAAAATTAAAAAAATGTCAAATAACAAGTAAAGAATGGCTTAAAATCATAGACCAAGTTAAAGACAGTGACCGCATAGCCAATAATTGCACTATTCCAACAAACCATAGCACACCACAATCGAGCCGCCGTAGAAAGACTGGAAAATAACAGATACTTATAGTTGGAGAGAGAGACAGAGACCACTCCGAGAACTCTATCTCTAGAATCTCTCCCAGTAGGAACCATGGACGACATGAACACACCAACAACACCAAACCCTCCTCTCCGACGCCGAAAGTCTATCGCGACATCGGTGATGGTCGCCACCAAGCACAGCCTCCCCACAAAGACCCAGCACCACACCTTCAGCTTTCCCTCCTCCACCACCACCACTGCCGCCACGTTGTCATCATCATCCCCGACCTTATCGTTTCAGTCATTTCCAAACGTCGATTTCGATCTCCCCTCAATCAAACCCATCTCCTACACCTCTCTCAAAGACCTTCTACCATCCATGGCAGTCCAATCCCCGACGGCCCAGCCCCAAGCCCAATCCAATATCTCGATCCGCAACCGTCTCGTCAAGCAGGCCGCGTGGGCCTACCTCCAGCCCATGTCTGTCTCGCCGGACTCCGCCGGAGATAGTTTCCTTCACCGCCTGTGGGTCAGATTCTCCGGCGGAGACTTTCTTAAGAATCCATGCTCTGCTCTATTTAGCTTCATTGATCGCCACATCGTTCGGACTATTACCGGGTTTTTTGATCGGTTGCTCCGAGCGTTTCGGATTTGGAGCTCCAAATAGCGGCGGTGACATTGACGGTAACGGTAAAATTGACAGTAATGGCAACCGTTACTAATAATTGAACTTTGATTCTCAGCTTTCAGAATATTATTGATTTTTATAATTGAACAAAAAATATATATATATATCATCTTTGAGCATGGTCATGCTAATCGGCAATACGTTTTAATGTTATCGGATGTTCCCTCGAGTCGACAGTTGGATTGGAAAATTAAATTTTATTAGTTTTGAGTTTAAAGAATTTTCTTTCTCTATAATCGGTTCGAATGTGCATAGAACAACTTAAAGAAAAAAAATGCACAAGTTTCTATCATTTAGTGTGGCTAAATTGCAAAAATACCAAACTATAAGGTTCAATATGAACAAATACAAGAAACAAAAGAAATGTATAAAATTGGATATTGAGGTACACAAAAAATAATTCTGATTTTTTTTTTTTTAATTTACACTATTTGCTCAATTGTCAATTGATTCATTTAGAGCGCCTAAATCTGAATTTTGAAGAACGTTGGTCCTGACCATGCGAGGCATCGGTTGAGCCATGTCTAGTGGGTGATTCTGGTATTGAAGTGTCCCCGGTGTGGACGAAATGTGTTTGGCTATTGAAGTGAACTTGTACCGTCTCTGGATTAGGCGGTTGGGTCTCCAACCGCCAGGAGTCTGGCCGCCTCTTGTCGGACGGCTGCCTGCCATACATGAATGAGAATGGTGTGTTGGGAGGAGGTAGAGGAGATCCTTTGCCTTTGTCTTTGTCTTTTTCTTTGTCATCCTTCTGTAGATGTAAAATTAGAGGAAAATTAATGTTAGAATTTTTAAGTAAAGAGTTTAACATGGATGACATTGGTGGTACAGTGGTACTGTTAAGTTTCGTCCACGGTCAAAAAATTTGTGGTTGGTATCTATAATTTTTGATATTATTATGTCTGCTAAAATTCCAACAAAAGTAGTTCAAAAATCAATAGAAAATTGTCACTTTTTCTATGTTTGCAACAAACTTGTGTAAAAGTCGTAGAAATAACATGAATGTGGTGCATTATTGTTNATGGCAGTCCAATCCCCGACGGCCCAGCCCCAAGCCCAATCCAATATCTCGATCCGCAACCGTCTCGTCAAGCAGGCCGCGTGGGCCTACCTCCAGCCCATGTCTGTCTCGCCGGACTCCGCCGGAGATAGTTTCCTTCACCGCCTGTGGGTCAGATTCTCCGGCGGAGACTTTCTTAAGAATCCATGCTCTGCTCTATTTAGCTTCATTGATCGCCACATCGTTCGGACTATTACCGGGTTTTTTGATCGGTTGCTCCGAGCGTTTCGGATTTGGAGCTCCAAATAGCGGCGGTGACATTGACGGTAACGGTAAAATTGACAGTAATGGCAACCGTTACTAATAATTGAACTTTGATTCTCAGCTTTCAGAATATTATTGATTTTTATAATTGAACAAAAAATATATATATATATCATCTTTGAGCATGGTCATGCTAATCGGCAATACGTTTTAATGTTATCGGATGTTCCCTCGAGTCGACAGTTGGATTGGAAAATTAAATTTTATTAGTTTTGAGTTTAAAGAATTTTCTTTCTCTATAATCGGTTCGAATGTGCATAGAACAACTTAAAGAAAAAAAATGCACAAGTTTCTATCATTTAGTGTGGCTAAATTGCAAAAATACCAAACTATAAGGTTCAATATGAACAAATACAAGAAACAAAAGAAATGTATAAAATTGGATATTGAGGTACACAAAAAATAATTCTGATTTTTTTTTTTTTAATTTACACTATTTGCTCAATTGTCAATTGATTCATTTAGAGCGCCTAAATCTGAATTTTGAAGAACGTTGGTCCTGACCATGCGAGGCATCGGTTGAGCCATGTCTAGTGGGTGATTCTGGTATTGAAGTGTCCCCGGTGTGGACGAAATGTGTTTGGCTATTGAAGTGAACTTGTACCGTCTCTGGATTAGGCGGTTGGGTCTCCAACCGCCAGGAGTCTGGCCGCCTCTTGTCGGACGGCTGCCTGCCATACATGAATGAGAATGGTGTGTTGGGAGGAGGTAGAGGAGATCCTTTGCCTTTGTCTTTGTCTTTTTCTTTGTCATCCTTCTGTAGATGTAAAATTAGAGGAAAATTAATGTTAGAATTTTTAAGTAAAGAGTTTAACATGGATGACATTGGTGGTACAGTGGTACTGTTAAGTTTCGTCCACGGTCAAAAAATTTGTGGTTGGTATCTATAATTTTTGATATTATTATGTCTGCTAAAATTCCAACAAAAGTAGTTCAAAAATCAATAGAAAATTGTCACTTTTTCTATGTTTGCAACAAACTTGTGTAAAAGTCGTAGAAATAACATGAATGTGGTGCATTATTGTTGGTTATATCCTATGTTACGCAACAGCACATGAGTGTGTGTGTGTGTGTGTGTGTGTAAGTTGTGCATCTTTTGTCCAAAAAGTGTTATCTAGTAGCAACTAGTATGGTTGCCTAACATGCAGGACAAAAGGAAGACAGAATGTATAAGGGAATGTAAGGAAAACAATACCTTAGATTTAGAGCTCTGGTTTTTAAGCTTCGAAGACTGGGAACCTAAGTAATTGAGGAGATCGAAGAATGCTGATTGGCCTAACTGGGTGCAATTTTGCCAATAATAAATGGCCAAGTCCCAAGCTCTAGCTCTCAAATCCAGCAGATTCCTCTCTATATCTGTCTCATGTTTCGCCACATATGGCCTCAAGAAGGTTTCATAGATAAACCCAGTTCCCTACATTGAGCAAAGGTTCCTGCAATTAGAACCACTCTAACCAAATCCATGAACACAACCCAGATTCATTCTAGATCAGGGGTGCAATTTGGGCAGTCAAAATCCAAATCAATTTGAATCAAACCCCAAAGTATGCAGCATTTAACCAGAGATATTCAGTACTCGGGTTAAGTTAGACCCAAAAAAACCCAAGTCAATTTAAGTTATTGAAAAACTCTGCTGAAATCTCAATGGTACAACCTTCTACCTTATCTGACTCCATTAATTCAGGTATAATACCAATTCTGTTGCCCTCAATCAGAGAATTGAACCCCAATTTAAACCTCAGTTGTGTAGTCCGAGTTAACTTGGAGTTTAAAAACCGAATTTAAACAACTTGGGGTTAGGTCTAGTTGATCCCTAACCCTGTCTATCCCGCCTGACTTACATCCCCAATTCTAGCATTTTGGCTTACCTTGGTTTTTGGGTACCATAAGTAGATAAAAAGTGCAAGCTTCATCTCTCCATACATTGGCACCCTGGAAAAGAGTTTAACATGGATCAACTACCACAGAATGAATATGCTCAGTCACCAACAAGAATTGAGAAAGCTGTGTAAGATTACATACCATGATACAAATGCATCACCAATTCTCTCAAGAATAGTCAGCAGTGCAACAATTATCCTGTGAAGATTCCCCATTATTCAGTATTTGATTTATGAAACATTCAAAACTCAACCCCAACACCCCCAAAAACAATTAAAAAAAGGATAAGGTTCAGGAGTCCCCATCACTTATTTTTCAGCAATTGCTATAAGCATAACCTGATATATTAGGTACAACCTTTTCTATAACCACCATGGAAAATTTAATCATCAAACCGGATAGATTGAATTCCAGTTACCCATATCTCTATTCAATTTGATAGTGACCTCTCAATTCATTTCTACAACTACTATCCCAAACTCACTGAAATTAGCCTAAAAAATTCCACATAAATTTCTCTTCCTATCTTTTTCATTGTCTTGTTTGCAACCACCAGCTACAAGGTCGAATGAAATTCAATCTGGGAACATGTTTGTCCAATGAGACCTGGGGTGATGCTAATGTCATTTTCATCTATATAAAAAAAGGAGCACTAATGTATTCATTTTTGACTAATTAATAATCTTGTCATGTTCACTTTTCAGCTCTAACAAAAGTCTACAAGAAATCTAATTGGACAAAAACCTCATACATGCACAGGAGACTAAGACCAATAATTCAGGATCCCCAATTTCTTCAACTTCAATTTGTGGAAAAGAAAAAAAGAGAAATTGTAAAGAATCTTTATACCAACAATAACATGACTAATTTGCGACTTAATTTACCGATCTTATTCATTATTTTGCCATTGAATTGGTGTTTGATTTCAACAAATATTGGGGATCTACGATCAACCTACTGGCAATGATTGATTAGATCAACAAATTAGAGTAAAATAGATCCAAGTACACATACCAATATTGACACCAGAACCTTAGCTCTTCAATATGGACTTTGTTCTTCTCCACAGTTTTAAAACACTCAAATGCAGGATATGCATATCCTAGAACCATCCTGTCATCCAAATCAAAATTCAACAATAAATGGACCAAGTCAAGAATTCAAAAATACCCATTCAAAAGAAGTTCGAAACAAGCAAAAAGGACAAAAAAAAAAAGAACCAAAATGAAGAATAGGGAAACAGAGAGAATCAATCGAACAGTGAAAAGAAAAAGGGTTATAGGTAAACTTACAGAAGGCCTCTGGTTATCAACTCTCCTAACATCTTTAATAAGTCAAAAAAAGGTACACAAAATTCCTGCCAACAACCAAGAAAAACTGTATTAATCGAAACTGATCATTTGACATTGATTAATCGAAACCATATGATTTCATAGGAGCAAAATAATAGCAAGAAGTCAAAAACAAAAGTAGTGGGAAAAAAAAAAATGAAAAACTGTTGTGTCCAACCTGTTGGAAAGAACAGAGAATGTAAAATTCAAGGAGCAATTTCACCAAAGAATTTGTGATCCGCTACTGCAATGATCGAAAACTCGTACAAACAACCGTTTGACAGATCAAAGACTGCACTCAACATGAAAAATTAATCAAAACATACCCCCCTTCCAAAAAAGAAAAGTAAATGGATAGTGTTGGGGATTCTTTGAAGTAAAGTGAAATTTTATTACCTTGGCTCAAATGAAGGATCTTTGATTCTGGGTGTGTGAGAAATGGAGGCAAATGTGCAGAAACTGGAGATGAGAGGAAGAAACTTGTTAGAGACAGAGGGGGGGGGGGGGGTATATATAACTGTGTGTATATATGGAGTTGAGTATTGATATATCACAGCTATTTGGATTGGGTAAAACGTAGAAGGAAGAGAGAGAGAAGTTTGAGGGATTTCTTGCCACGGACGCCTTCTGACTATTTTACACGTAATTCCAGTAAGGTGGATTTCTTGAAATTCTTCAAACGGGTTTACTGTTTGGCAGTTATGTTCTGAAAAGGGTATTCTCGTCATTTACCCTTAATAGACCAGTCATATGAAAGAAAAGGATGGAAAAAGTAAAACAACTCGGGAAACTCCCATAGGAAAGAACCCTGCAGTTGACCAGACTATTTTTTTGACAAAATAAATTAATATTCATTATTCTATATCCGGCTACCCAAGCAAAATTGCATAGTTATGTATGAATAAACGATAGCTAATATTGACATTTTTCTGAATAGAAATAGAAATAGAAATGATTGAATTGAAGAAAAGCGGGATTGAGTTGAAGAAGGAAATATACGAATAATTATTTTGTTGGAGAAAAAATAAAAGGTATTTTGAATATTTTCAAAGTCAACACCAAACTCATTCATCTTGTTCAATCTGTACTTTAATACATGAACTTCTAATTGCTTTGTTATGGTTCTTAACGTTTTTAATTTCCTAAGTAGTTTTAATTGCTAATTTTCATCTCAATAATTGACCGATGGTGATGAATGTAATTACATCTCAATTTTTAATGCAAAAAAAATATGCATTATAAATAGGTTGAATTAATGTTTGATACTTATATATTAACTAGATTTTTTTATGGGTTTAATATGAACGCGATATGAAATATAATGACACGATAGCAACGTGTGGATGACCTGGTCTATTGATTCAAATCCAATGTACCAGAGAATTGTTGTGAAATCAAACAATGACAATAAAGTGAAATTAATGAAAAGAATGCAATTTAAACATTTACACAACATATAATTTATGTGGTTCGATAATTTGCCTACGTTCACGATACTGCAAGGATTTCACTACTCGCAAGAAAAAATACAGAGAGTGAGGCGGTCATACAGTATCAATCCAAAAACCGCAATCACCGAATAACAACTTATATATGTCCTGTGCATAGGACTATAAGCTTCCACTCCATTGAATAAACCTCAGAAAATTTTCATTAAAAAAATTACACAATATTTTTTTGATCGGGTCATCATCTGGATTACACACAAACTAGACTCCACAAAAAACACCCAACGGGAACTTTATCCAATTATTCCACATCTAGAAGAATTGACGAACACTTTCAGAATTTGAACTTGGGTTGATGAATAAAACATGCAGTAGACTTGCACTTTATTTTGATGCAGGCTTAGAATTTGTGCTAAAACCTTGTAGCAGAATAAGACTTGTTATGTCGTGTTTAAGTTATGTCGTATCTAAATTTATTCAATTTTTTGAACTCATGTATAATTAAGTCGTATATAATTGCATTTGTATGGTGTATAAAAATGGATTTGCGGTGTATATACATATAAGTTTATATCAATACATTTATTCAATGAGTCTGATTGGTCAACCCAATTATAATCTAAACTCATTAAGACTAGACACATATCTGCAACTTCTTAGTTATATCCCGGGAATAATGTTCGTTGATTGGTGTCGTTTATATCCGAGTTCATGGAAAGTGTTTTATCTATATTGACCTTTGTTTGTTGGCATGGAAGAACGACCATCTACTTGAGTTGAATATGGCATGATGGCCGGCTTGCTGAATATTCATATGCATGCTTGACAAAGGTTGAGGCCATTGACTGATTCGTTTCCTTGGAACCTTAATAGGAAATTTACTTGTACTATTTGTATATTGTAATGAAGTTTGGTCATGTGAAGACAGGAACAGCTGAGGACCAACAAGTTTAAATAAATGTTTCCTAATGATTTTTTTGGTTCATGTTCACACAGTTCCATTTCTTGCAATACCAGGGTTTGACAGGGTTGATAAAAAAAAAACATTGATGAAAAGTAGGAGGGATACTTTTCTATTCTTTAAGAGATGAATCTTTCTTTTCATTTGTGTTTGGTAGGAGGGATAAAAAATATGAAGAATTGATTTTTTTTTTTGTGTGTGTTTGATAAGACAAAAAAAAAATTAAAGGATGAAAAAAGTATAAATACATATTTTACGTACCATAATCCCAATGGTAGTTCAAGTGGTACCAGAGACGAATTGTAAACACAGACGTTTTGAGTTTGAATCTTGATAACCCTTTAAAGTCAGATCATGAGAGATTTATCTCTCATGAATATCCTAGCTAGTCTTGGTGTGGATAATCTATTTTTAACTGGACAGAAGAGGAAATTAGTTGAGGTGCGTGTAAGCTGACTCGAATATCTCTAATTGTTGAACCAAAATATAATATTTTTTCCATCATTTCAACTTTTTACTATTCTATTTTTCTGGCACAGAAAATAATGGGTAAATTCGTTCGCACTGTTTGCAGTCCATATGATGATACTCAAAAAATAGCACCATTTGACAGCAATGATCAGGTCAAGTGATTGGACCATCATGGAGTCATATGTGAAAGTTCACCCAAGGAAAGAAACCCAGGAGTGGCCCAGGACGACCACAAGGAGAACCTCTCCGATCGCCCTGTAAAACCCCCGAAGAGGATCAACATCAGAAGCTCGGGACAGTTGATTGAACTGATCTCTTGTATGCATGAGCTAACCTCAACAAGAGAGCTCGCCCTAAAGCACACTCCGTAGACGATAGACTCTGTCAAACGCGTGCAAGATCGTCACATGCCTAGGCTGGAAGACATGTCTTCTTGTCACTTCAACATATTCTAGAATGTCAGGTCACTTTTAAAGAATACATCATCTAACGGCCTATGAGTATAGACTCAAATTACTCAAATATTCTCTCTTCAAAATTCTAACAAACTAAAGACTACTCGAAGATGACAACATCATCTCTTATCAATCTCAAGGCCCTTACAAGTGAAAGGGCATAAGAAAAATATGGTAACCAACTCTTCTTCTTTAAATAACACAAAATTTCTTCACGAGTAAGAAACTCCATTAGAGTGAATTAGACAAGTTTCACAACTAGCGAATCACTATAATTTTTGTGTTCTCATTCATTCTCCTGCTCGATCTCTTTCTCTATTTTTACTATAATATCAACTAGAATTACTAGGCTCCATCCCAATTTCATCACCCACCTTCACACACTCAGCGAGTCAACATCACCAAACCTTGAACTCTTTAGTTCAAGTATCCGGCTCACATCCCGATTCCCAAAACCATCACCATACAACGTAGAAATTTTACTTGGGTTCATTTCATGTGTATTGTACATGATATCGGCACCCAAAAAAAAAATCAAAATACAATAGGAAAAACACAAAATACACTGATTTACGCAATTTTGGTTGAAAGCTTACGTTCACTTGGAAAAACTTAGTGCCAACATCTTACCATCACAAGTATATTAACCATAACAGATCTCCTACTCTTAGTCAGGTTGCAAAAAGATCTACTGAAACTGAGTGTTGCTCCAAAAATAGTAAGAACCATTGTGCGAACTATGGCCCTTGGCCAATTGGGGACGTAGTCAACTGAAAATTGAGCCGAATTTTGCGAGTTCAAGTTAAATTCGTGGAACTTATTTTTTTAAACGAATCAAAAAAAATTGTTCAAACTTGACTCATTTAGAAAATGAGTCTAGCTCGAGTCGAACCCAAAACAAGTCGAATCCGAGTCGAGTTTGAGTAGCTTGACTATTTTACATATAAACGAACTAAAAAAATTTGTTCAAGCTCGGTTCATTTAGAACACGAGCCGAGCTGGAGTCAAGTCTTGTACGAGTCGAATGCGAACTAAGTCCGAGTAACTCGAGTCAATTATCAACCTTAGATGTAGCGAATGAAGAAGCAAAATAGTAAAATGGCAAATTAATATGCTTCTTTTTCATCTTCTCTTTACTGTTAAACTAATCAACACAAGAAGATAACAAGTGCATATTGAAAACAAAATAAGAGTTGTTATGTTAGGTCAACTTTAAACCCAAAATAATTTTTAAAATGAATATAAATAAAAATATAGATAATGTCGTAGTTAGGGTCAAAATATATGAAAATACGTTTTTATCTTAATGAGGCTAGGTTTTACGCGATTGCTTGCACTAATCTACTTGATGTCGTCATTGCATCGTTCATGGCGTAAGTTGATGAAGACAGTTATTGTAATTAAATTACATGCACAATATTACCCTTCTAATTCAAATAATTATTCATCTTTCTTTATTATTATTTTTTGTCACCTATTCAATGAAGTATATGCAAGTAGTTTTTCCAGCTATACAATAGGAGGCAGGTAATAAGACATTTTTTGAAAGATTCTTAGGACAATTATGCCTATGTCATCACATGTATACTTATATATATTAATGTTTCGCTCACTAGGACGGTTAGATGAATCGACGATTGGTTTGTTTTTGACTCGGTAAAATAAAATGTATTGGGTATAATTAAAATTTTAAACTTGTTTAATATTTAAGTCAAGCCCAAGCAATGTGTCACCCGACTCAATAGGCTATAGCACGATTTGTTTGCGATATTAAGTATGAATATTTTTTGATGAAAAATAAAAAAGTGGTATTGACGATTTAATGGATAAGTTATATGATTTCTAATATGGAGATTGAGTTTAAATCTCATTGAAAATGTGTTTTTGTAATCACTTGAGTCCGAAATCGTCAAACTAACTAGAGTTTAGTTCAAAGATAAGCCGAATCAAGTCAAACCTTAGTATATGATCCATAAGAGTAATGCTAATCCATAAGAGTAATGTTATTGGGACCTAAAAAATTGACCTAATTTATTAACCTAATTCACTGTGACCTTTGAATTGACAGTAGACTCCATCAAACATTAGAATTTGGTGTTGATCCAATGTTTTTAATTAGACCACATTAATATG